ACAACGACGCATTTTGTTTTTAATGGACGTTGAGTAAAACTAAAGTAAACAAATAAATTTTTGCCCTTGCATAACGTATTTTTCTCAAAAACTTACCATTTGAACTGGAAATAGATCGCGTTGATTGTCGGTAATTCTAGTGTCAATTAGCCGATTGTACATGATTGGTGAGGATACTTTTACGTCTATAATCTAGAGCGCGGAAAGATCACAGTTGAAAACCGAAATCGAATAAAGTCGAATCAAATTATCGAGTTCAGTGGTATGTTCGATTTGAAATCTTGGTGTCACTTTTGACCTAAAAAATACATTATGCAAGGGTAAACATTTATTTCTCTTAGTTTTGTTCAATGTTCATTAAAGACACAAAATGCGTCATTATATAATAAAGTTTGAGTAATTTTCCTGAGAAATTACGAACCAATTCCGTATCCAATAGGAAAGTATATTTTCAGAAAATAAATGACGAATGTGTTGTGAACAATAAAATTTTAACTAAAACGCACATTTCTCTCCTATCGGATGCGGGATGCATTGCGAAAACTCATCGAGCTAAAAGTATCGTGGCTTTATTTCCACCGACCGAGCGCGAGAAACTGCGACCATGCTCGGGAGCTGAAAGGTTTGAACACCTTTTTCGCTGCGTATTTTGAAACGCGTCCGACGGGAGAAAAATGTATCTTCCGAGAAGTGAGCTCGTGAAATTCTCCTGTTGGATATCTACTGCGTATTTCGATATGTGTCGAAAAGAAAAGCGGCTCTGCGAACGAGACGGCGTTTGTGCGCGCGCGCGTGCGTGTATATGTGTGTATGTGTGTGTGTGTGTGTATGTGTGTGTGTGTGTGTGTGTGTGTGTAAGTTATAACGCCTGAAAAATCGTCGTTGATTCCATCGAACATGTTGATGTAATCGGCCTTGCATAACTGCGCGCCATGGAACAAAGATGAAAATTACGTGACAGCTGTCGGCGGCGACGCGGACAGGCTAAATTATGTTGATTGCCGATACGAGCGTGTTAAGAAACACAGAGGGAAAAGCTCGTCGGGCGTGTCGTTACATCATCTCGTTACACAGACCGTAATTGAAGACGAGTAAAAGGAATTGTCGCGCCGACTGAGGTGTCCGCTCTTCCGACGATTTCCGTGCTGCTCCGTGAGGTCAATACGAGGTAGATAAATAATTAATAACAAGGAACGCGAGGTAAGATCAGAGGGGAACATGCACGGGCGATTCGCAAGGTACTCTTTAACTCTTTCGGGCATAATGGGATAAAAAGTGTCCTGCCTTTTTGACACTTACGTATTCACAATGGGATGTTTCTCATCTCACCTTGAAATATTAAGATAACTCGAAGCACTGCGCCTTAAAATAGTACGTCTCGTCGCCTTTGTATTTTATATTTGGCATTTTTGCGATTTTTATATCTCTTCTAAATAATATTTCTGCGCAATTAGAGCCTTTTTTGTCTTAAAATCCTGTGCTTCCAAGAGTTCTTTGCCTTGAGTGAATATTTTAAATGTTGAGTGAATATTTTCATTCGGGTGTGAGGCATAATATCTGATGTGCACAAAGCGGCAAAATATAAAATTATAGAAAAAGGATTACAATGATGATTATATTGAGTGATATACAATTCAAATATATAAAAATATAATAATAATAATAATGAATATAATAGAATTTATCGCGTAGAATTTGGCAAAAGTTTAAATAATTAATTTAATTTAAGTTAAGTAATTTTAATTAATGTTTAATTAATCAATTAATTATTTTAATTATTTTTTTTTTAATTTGAGGAACATCGATATTCTACTTTAATTAATTAATTAATTAATTTATCCTTCCGTTTTATATGTGCTATTTATATTTTAGGAACTGCAGTCTATAATAAAAAGAAATATTTACTATGACCTTTAGGTAGAGAAAGTAAGAAAACATATTATAACTGTTGATAATTTCAAGAAATAGGAAGGATATATCTCATAACGATATCATTATTTTTATTATATACATACTCTTATATATTTTATGTTACAAGTATAATTCTGTCTGGATGGTATTTGCTGATAATATCATTGCTATTTTCTTGAGTACTCAAGAGTCGTAATATGCCCCTTATAGAAATTTATTATTGGCTGTAATAAATTGGCCGGTGAGTAATAAAATTACTACGAGTAATAACATTATTTATTACCACTGGCCAGTTTATTACTGCCAGTAATAAATTTCTGTTAGGGGCGAATATGTAGATAAGATGTGTACGATTGGATAGTTTCAGTGGTTCTAAACCTATTAAATTAACATTTCGTTATGATATTAAAAAATTATAAGGCATAATGATGTTGTTTTATATACGATTCCATTACGAAAACAAAACTCTAACCGGCTGGAAATATTCATGTGCACGAACTAAAAATCCATAAATTTGAGTATTTGTTAAAGTAAAATAAAGTTTGAGCAAAACTTTATAAGTTTGAGTTAAATATTTATCTTCTTGCGATTCCGTGCGACGGTATCGTCTCGTCGTCGCCTCGAGTGAATTTTCATTCATCCTGTGAATGAGATTTTACTCCAAGGAACTTGAAGACTTCTTATCAATCGAGTCTTATCACTGAGGAAGAGATTATTCACAACTTCATTATTAGAAATCATTATCTCCTTTACAACTTGGATATTTTTTTTTTAATTAATTACGAATTAGAACATCCATTCGGTTATAAATTAATCGAAAACTATCTTATAAAGAATAAATGCCTTATAACTATCTTATAATTGTCTCGCTCGTACGAATGCGTCGATTCGATGACCGCGACTCGACGCTGAGGAAGGAGGGGCGGAGGGAGAGAGGAGGGGACGAATAGGTGCCGCGCCGTTATTTATTTATATCGTGTCGAATTATGCCGCGGCGATATCGCGATATACTGATAAGTTTGAGTGTCAGTGACGCGTCGTCTAATTACGATTAAGTGTAAGGCGGCTTTACTAGAACTAGTAGTCATCGGTCACTCTCTCGAGGCTTCGTTTCATCGCCGATGCCGACCCGAGCGACTGTGCCGCTCGAGAGAGCTCCTCGCGATCGTTAGTTCACGAACGAGTGAGTCGCGAGTTCGCAACCGCGTAATCTCGTCCTGTTGTTGTATGCCGTGTCTTGTTCCTCGTTTCTCATCGCGAGTGTTTCTCCTGTCAGGAGAGGACTCGCTTCTCCTGCGAGTCTCGCGGTGGTTGGGTCATTTCGACGCTCTTCAGCGCCGTGTTCGTCCCGCGAGACGCTCGACCGCGAAATTCTATAAAAATCACCTCAAGGTGAGGCTCGACGTAACCATCGACATGAGGATACTCGGACCGAGCATGTACTGTTCATTTAAGTAAGGAGGTGCACGAGTATGTACAGCAAGTTTCACAAGTTCAACCCCGTTTCCTTCACCTAGTGACGTTTGGGATGTTTGGTTAGGCGCATCATACATATCTAAATTTAATAACAACTTAATAACAACAAATTTAATAACAACACATATTATTGTTAAACAAATATACGCATATGATTGATTAAGATCTTATACATGTGTAATATTATATGTAATAATAATCGATTAATAACCGGCTATTAACCAGCATTCGTGACGTATGTAAATGTTCAAATATGTTGGGCCTGGGTGAAATATTCTGGACTCTCTTTCGTCACTAAAAGTGACTCTGAAGGTGGCTTACGAGTAATTAGGAGGCTTATTAGCCACTTTTGTAGCTCACTTTTAACGATAAAAAAGAGTTCAGAATGTGAGCCTAAAGACACTCAAGTTGCGCTTCAAAACGGTTCTTGCACTCGCGGCGAATATTCAATGAGAGAACTCAACTTCCGAGAATCCTCCGGAAACATAGGTGATCTGATTGGACTACCGGCTGCGTTCCGAATTACACAAGACGAGCGAAACATACAAAACGAGCGTTTCGGCCGTTTTGAAAGCTGGTGTATCTCAATTTGCGGCAAAAGGGAAAGTTACAGCGCTTCGGGTCATTCAGTTCGACTCACTATTATTCACACGCACTCGCTCTCTCTCTCTCTCTCTCTCTCTCCCTGGTTGTGTACGTTTTACACACGTTGACAAGTTACGGCGAATTGACGTAACGAATGCCTCGAAAGGCGCTACCTCAGTTGTTTACAAACATCGCGATTCCAGCGCGAGTTGACGCAAAGCTCAGCGTGTTCGCGGAAGTCCCGGCGAATCCTGTAGAAAAATAATATTAGCTGTAATGAATTGACCGGTGATCAATTATTGTTGTTCGATAATTTTAGTATTACTCGTATGAGTAATTTATCACTGGCCGACTAGCTGGTAACACTTTTCTCAATTTTCGTGTGAGTAACCAAATTACTGAGCAACAATAATTATCACTGGCCAACTTGTTACAGCCAGTAATATTTTTCTACAAAGGGATAATAACCGCAAAGTCTTAACTTTGCCCTCACCGCTAATTAGGGCTTGTCCTCGTAGAACGCTTCGTCCGGATGTGCCTATGTCGATGATCTCGATGGGCCGAAATAGAAAAAAAAGACCGGAAACGAGACGAAGAGCGATTTATCTCTCATCGGCTCTCGATGTGCCGTTTTATCGAGCGGAAACGGATATTTGCAATCTTTCGAGATGTCCAAATGTAAAATCAAGTACAGACAACCGGTTTTACCGTTCGCTGTGTCGGTAATTAATTGGACAGTGATGATGAATTATTGTCACTTGGTAATTTTATTACTCCATACTGAGTACTGAAATTACTGAACGACAATAATTTACTATTGGCCAATTTATTTCACACACTCCGTATGAGTGCTAAAATTTAATTAAAAAAATAAGCGCTCACATGAGTACTGAAATTACTGCAACAGCAACAATTCACCACTGGCCAATTTATTAAAGCTAGCGGTACTTTTCTACGAGGGCATATTTGTCTCTATTTGTCTCTATCTGCTCAGCGCCTAATTGTGGCCGCGATAACTCGTGTTTCAGTAGCCGGCAGAACGGAGCTACCATCACAGCGACTACTCCACATGTGGACATCGCCGTCCCGACTCAGGATCGGCCGGGCACCCAGGAAAAAGACTCAGCCTTGAGTTGATAGCTGCGCCACCAGCTGTCGCGGCTGGTGAAGGATGGAGAACACCGATGGATCCAGGAGGAAGCTCTCCTTCCTCGGCTTCGGTAAACGGGTATCGGTAAGCAGACCTCAACTTTGATTAACTTGACCAGAGACTACTGGCTTCACTGAAGCAGTCGACTCCTCCGTTAACGTGGCTTTCGTCGCTCACCTTTTGCGCGAGCAATTTCCGCATGAGGAATGCCGGCTTGAGTGTTCAAATGGTATCGGCTGCTGATATCGGATAACGTAATAGCGATATGATGATAAACGATGTTCCGTATCAGGGCTCGGTATGGCGACTGGATACTACAGTAAATGCATCGCGTTACCTCAGTGACATAATGTGCTTTATGTGCTGTACAGCTATGTATCGGCTATGTATGGCGTCCATAAAACCGTGGAACCTTCCCTGGCCAGCCGGCGATATCGATTGGCATGTAGACTCGAGGAGAATGATCATATATAATTTTATAAAATTACATATGTTTTTGTACGAAGATTATGCGTAATTATATACATGATCTATATACAAGATAAGGCCACCTGAGTAACTTAGAAAATATGCAAGATAGAGAAAAATGTTAAGTGCAGGAGTTGTATGGTTTTAAGTGACGCATCACATAGCAATATTAGTACGACCTTCAGCGTCATCAAGTCACCTAGAGTTTTTTAAATGGGAACCTCCATTTTTTATAATATTATCTTTTCATACCAATTGATTTGAACGGCTTTTGTTTGAAACATTTTTTTATTTGCCTAATACTTTTTGAAATATTTAAGGAAAACTTGGTAACTTTTTCAATATTTAGCTTACGATATTTCAGTAACTATTCGTCGGAAGAGAAAACAGTATTAGATTTTTTACTCTCTTTGATCTTAAGAATATATTGTTACGATAGTAACTAACTTTTGTTAAATTATTGACCTTTGGAAGTTCTGAAATCATCAAATTAACAAAAGTCAAGGCGCTATTGTAATATATTCTTGAGACTAAATAGAGTAAAAAAATTTAGCACCACTTTTCCTTCTGACAAATAGTTACTGAGATATCGTATACTAAATATTGAAAAAAAATACCAAGTTTCTCTTAAATATCTCAAAAAGTATTAGGCAAATACAAAAATGTTTCAGATAAAAGTAAGTAAATAATTAAAATAATTGGTAGGAAAAGATAATATAATAAAAAATAAGCGTTTCCATTTAAAAAATTCAAAGTGATCTCATAATCTTGATGATGACGCTATTCAAGGTCATACTAGGCCCAGTTCCACAACTTGCTTTAAACTCCGTTTAAAGCAAGTTGTGGAACTGGGCCCTAGTGTTGTTATGTGATGGGTCACTTGAACCCCTACAACTTTTATATTTAACATTTTTTTCCATTTTGCATATTTCCAAAGTTATTCAAGTGACCTGTTTTAGGTGGCTTACCCTGTATAATTATATACGAACATTGCCTCTGTACGGCCATATAACCTTATATAATTATTCAATACGGTCTATACGATGTAAGAAAATGCCGTTGAAAGGGGAAAAGAAAAGATAGTTTCAGCCGATTAGGCGTTAACATCGTGGGCTTAAACACAAGCATTTACTTCAATTGTGCTTATATGATAGCATCTCTCTTGCTGTTGACATGTACAGGATGATTCACATTAGGCTTAATAACTAGATTGCTAAAGAACTCTAACAGAATCTTGCTCGACGTATATAATTATATTTTTTACACATTACGAGTTCCTTGAATCATGGAGTAAGTATGTGTCTGTTTTTATTCCAAAAATGACGCGCAAGAAGTTAGGTCGGTAGTGATGTCACCGTGTCTGAAGTTTTCTCATTTGAAATTTTTAAATTATTCCCGTTCTATATTTCAAATGCGAAAAATAAAGGTATGTTTGACACGGATTTAGAAGCTCTTGGGATTCATGAAAGTTAAGATGAGAACGAATTACGATTAAAATTACATTTAGACGCATGATCAAAATTATTCGTATATAATTTTCTTATAATAGTTAAAATAGTTTATATACGCCGATTATTAAATTATAGAGCCTTCTGAAAATTTCGAAATTATCAAGTTAACAAAAGTTAGGGCACTAATGTAACAGCATATTCTAGAGACCAAATAGAAAGTCTGGTATTACTTTTTCTTCCAATAAACAATTACCGAGATATCGTAAGCAAAATATTGAAAAAGTTATCAAATTGTTTTTGAATATCTCAAAAAATATTAGGCAAATAAAACAAAATGTCTCAGAAAAAAAATTGTTCCAATTATTAGGTAAATCGGAAAGTTCCGTCCGTTTAGCGACAAGTAGCTATAGCTAGAACTGTCGTTAACCTCTAATGTTTAAACGAAGCTTAATAGTTTGTTTTGACATCTGTCAATAACATTCAGTATATAAAAGTATACGTTTGCATCAATAACATTGTTTTTCACTGCATCGAAAATGTCGAAATTTGAGCCAAATAAGCGTCATTTGAGCGAAGTGTTAATCTTTTGCTTCAATTGGAAGAAAATTGCAGCTGAAGCTCATCGAATGCTTGTAGAAGTTTATGGTGATAATGCTCCTCCCGATAAAACATGCACAGAATGATTTCGACGCTTTAAAATTGGTGGTTTTGATGTAGAGGACAAAGAGCGTTTTGGACAGCCAAGAGTATTCGAAGATGAAGAATTGCAGGCATTGGTGGACGAAGACCCATGTCAAACGCAAAAGCAACTTGCAGAAGCATTAAATTGTGCTCAATCTGTCATTTCCGATCATTTGAAAGCCTTAGAAAAGGTTTACGAGGAAGGAAAATGGGTCCCATATGAACCGAAGCCAAGAGACATTGAAAGGCGAAAAACCACCTGTGAAATTCTGCTCGCTAGGCAACAAAGAAAGGGGTTTTCACATCGTATCATCACTGGGGATGAAAAATGGATTTATTTTGACAATCCCAAACGTCGAAAAACTATTTGCGATCCCGGCCAACCCTCAACATCGACGCCAGAGCGGAATATTCACGGAAAGAAGGTAATGCTCTGTATTTGGTGAGATCAGAAAGGTGTGTTGTACCATGAGCTGTTGAAAAGTGGTCAAACAGTCACAGGGGATCTCTACAGAGAACAAATGATCCGTTTGAGCCGAGCATTGCACGAAAGACGAGTAGAATATGAAACGAGACAGCATAAAGTGATTTTGCTTCATGACAACGCTCGGCTTCACGTCACAAAATCTGTCAAGGAAACGTTAGAAACACTTCGCTGGGAAGTGTTACCCCATGAGGCTTATTCACCAGACTGTGCCCCTTCCGACTACCACGTGTTTCGGTCGATGGCACACGCACTTGCTGAGGAATGCTTCAATTCTTATGAAAACGTCGAAAAATGGGTCTCTGACTGGATAGCCTCCAAAGATGAGTCATTCTTTCGCCGCAGAATTCGCTTACTGATCGAAAGATGGGAAAAAGTCGTCGCTAACGATGGACAATACTTTGATTGATGTACTTTTTCATTTTGTTTCTTAAATAAAGCCATACGTTTTGCAAGAAAACGGACGGAACTTTCCGATTGACCTAATAATTGGTATGGAAAGATGATATAATAAAAAATTGGGTTTTTCCATTTAAGAAAAGTAATGATTAATCCATTTAAGAAAATGAATATCTCGAAAGTGACACCAACAAAATAATATCGCTGTCTTGTGTCCCCCTTCAAACTTGATAACTTCTGTCTTTGTTTTTCCATATCTTTTATATTTTTCGAGATGTTTACCTGCGATATCTAAAATCGGACATCCTATATAGCATATTTGCACAATAATAACGTAACGACAATACGTATTAATGTAAATAAACACAATAATGTAACGATAAACACTCTCCGTAAAAATCGCAGAATAGATCTCCTGAGACACGTTGGCTTGTCACTCCGAAAATTTTTTTGGAAAATTTTTTTCTTTTCCTCGTGGGCCGATTCAGCCAGCACGACGATCGCGAAAGATGAAACCCATTTTCCCAGCGGAAGACCGCGCGCGAAAATTAACGAGCGGCTGTAATGCGAAACCGCAGAGCGACCCTCTCGACGACATCGCGTTCGTCCGAAAATGGTGGCGTTGTCTTTTATACTTCAATTTGCGGCGCGTTATATCTGTTATGATGGCACCAAAATTTTTTCTCTTTCCTTCAAAATCTTGGCGCAGCCGTAACTCGTGAACAAAATATTTTAGAGATTATGCTTTTTTGTGCCGATGTATTCTACACGACCACATACAGGATGTCCCAGAAAAGAGTTTCAGGTCGGAGAGAGTAGATAATATCTACTGTACCGAATAAAATGCCGATCGAAAAATCAACCCTTTCAGAATTACAAATGCGTTTTGACTTTGGTAATGCAAGTTATTTTGTGTGCTTCCATTGATCACGCATAGTGAATCAACGAACGAGACTTCTCGTATTATTATTTTGATATGTCGCTTTTTTGAATAGATTGTCAAACGTAGTTTATCATAAATTCTCGATAAATACGTTAGCTTTGCTTCTCAGTGATGTGTCTCGTGGTGAAAAGTTACAAGTGCGGCATGTAGGACACTTATTGTAAAACAAAGCAATAATAACATAACAAAACGGTAAGATGTTTGTTCGTCATTATTCACCGCGAGTGATCAATGAGAGTACACAAATAACTTGTGTTATCAAAATCGGAGAAAGTTTGTAACATTGAAGAGGTTAATTTTTTACCTATGCTTACTAAACGTTTTTTATTCAGTATAATGACTATTTACCCTGTAAATCTAGGGCCCTTTTTTGGACACCCTGTATAGCCAGTCAACTTTTCGTCATACATTAATAGGATATATTCTAAGTCTCCGTTCATATATTTTTAAGTCCACAAGGCGAAATTTGTATAATATTGTGAAGTTCCCAAAATTGCATCTTTATCTACGGATTTTAAATACAAGTAAATATATTAGTATATGTACAAATGAATAATCCAAATTATTTTAAGCAGTTATGAAATCAGTTTTAAATTGAATAGGTTTTCCTGCTCTTTTGTGATTATGCAATGTTGACATATAGCTATTAAAAAGAACA